AGACACACGTTCCCCAGCCTGCCAACCTGTTTCCCTCACAGCAAACCACCACCATCACAATGCGTCTCCATTAGGGTTAGAGCTGTCTTGGATTGGCAGTTTCCAATATTTAAAAACTAGAGGACTGTTGCATGCAATAGGCCTTCCCTTCGCCTGGCTGCTGGCACCGGTTTTCCTCCGGCACCCAGAAACCAGGCCTTCGCTCCGGCCGGAGCCGCCTTCAAAGCCTTCGCTGTGTCTCCGCTCTGCTGCTTCGTGCCTACGTATGCAAATTACCGCTATCTTTGTTGGCGGCTAATTTGCATATCTTGCTGATTAGCCCATGGGAGGCATAGTGAAGGTATGGTCAATTACCATGTTTGTCTGTTATTAGACAGGATGATTCATTTGGAAAGATGTCCTCCCTTATGTCCAAATAAAGTCTTCATGGTTATGTTATGTCTGTCAGAGTCCCAGTCAAAAACTAGTGGCACGTATAAAGGGTTTAGTGGAAGGGAGTTTAATGAAGGGACTGTTTACAGAGGAACTGAGGAGATGGGGGAGCCCCTAACAGTGGGAAGACAACAGTGGGAAGAAAAGCCAGTACCTTCCTGGCCTGAGGAGGGCGCCCTGTCCACTGCACCTAGAACTCTGGTTCTGGGAGGGGGGTCCCCTGGACAGGAGCTGTGGCCCCGGGAAGAGGAACACAGCTGGTGCCAGAGCTGAAGCCCACTCCCTCATTTTGTGCCCACCCCTCCCACTGGCCATGTCCAAATAGATGGCAACCTCCCAGAGGTCAAAGGTCAAACACACAATGCAGAAGAAATAACATGACCTCGTGATGTGAGACACCTATTGACAACATGTTATGCGTGAGCCCCTGCACCCAGAACTCTACATGTATTATTTCATTTCCGTCTTACTAAAAGGGGAAATGTGGAACTGTTACCCATATTTCAGGGATGAAGGAGCCAAAAGAGGTTAAAGCCATTTATCCAAGTCACACGAGTAGTAAACGGCAGCTCCTGCGCTCAGCTCCGGTTTCTGCCTCCCATCTTCTGCTCTGAAAGCTGCCATCCGCGCCGTCTGAGTGTCAGTCCGCTTCCTTCTTGCTCAACCTCCAAAGCTTATCCAGGAGTCGCCTGAAGGGCTCTGATAAGGATCTAAGTGATGACGTCAGTGAGTGTTCTTTTCAGACTTTCAGGTTTATAGTGCAATCAGATGATGTCTTTGTCTTACCCGTGAAGTGTAGCCTATGACAGTGCTCGCCCTGGTTATTCAGAATACAACTACAGGGTGGCCTCGTGACGTTACAGGTCCCTCCTTCCTACAAACAGTTTCGCTGGCCTAGAACAGTGGTCGGCAAACTCATTAGACAACAGAGCCAAGTATCAACAGGACAACGATTGAAATTTCTTTTGAGCGCCAAATTTTTTAAACTTAAACTATATAGGTAGGTACATTGCTATTAACTTAATTAGGGGACTCCTAAGGCTTAGGAAGAGCCACACTCAAGGGGCCAAAGAGCCGCATGTGAGCCGCAGTTTGCCGACCACGGGCCTAGAAGAAAGGGTCTTCTCCTGTGACTCTCTTCCCGGGCGAGACCTCCTCTTCACCATGAGGTCCAGCGGGCGATGGCTGACATGGGAGGAAGTCAGCCGCTCACCCGTAGCGAGCATGCGGCCTCCAATGGCTTACAGTGGGTGGCCGGGAATCACACGATGGAGAGACGTTCTGGTCATTATAATATCTGTAAAGACAGCGGTAAACTCACAGGATTTGTGTTGCTAGTTTCCATAGGGACAACTGTAAACCTGCTTTTGCCCCACCCTGTATATTCAGAAAATTAAGGATCAAATGCCTTTTTTTTTAAATCTACACTGTTCTTCTGTTGTATGAAACACGAAATAGGGTATTTGAATTCATGTTAAAAACTTGAGAAGAAAGCGACTTGGCATTGTTGCCACAATGCTACTGTCAGAATACACTGCCCATTCAGAGCGTCTGTGACTGGAGAATTGTATTCGCTCTCAAAGCAAGTGCAGCCGCTCAGCAGCTCAGTGTTTGAGCATCGACCTGTGAACCAGGAGGTCACGGTTTGATTCCTGGTCAGGGCACATGCCCGGGTTGCGGGCTCCATCCCCATTAGGGGGGCCATGGAAGAGGCAGCAGATCAGTGATTCTCTCTCATCATTGATGTTTCTCTCTCTCTCTCTCCCTCTTCCCTCTTCTCTTAAATCAGTAAAAAGAAATGAGCCGAATATATTCCTGTCCGCGAGATATTGAGCTGCTTTCAGCTCCTGGGTTGTGCCAGCTCCCGAAGCCACTGGGCCTTTGCATAGAGGTACTCACACTGCAGTGACCCTCAGGTCCCCATGGGAATGTCATTTCCAAGAAACCCACTGGACTAAATTGCACCCCCTCCCCCGGAGACCCAAGGACCTTTGCTTCTGTAACATATCACATGATATTATAATTAAACATCTGGTTGTCTTCCCAGCTTGCTAGTATTCTGTGAGGGTAGGATCTTTGTCTGCTAATTATCCTTCGCATCTAAGAATAACTTATTGAGTGATTTATGAAAGAATATAGACAAACTCATAAAATACTTAAGGGGCCACATTGTCTCCTTTAGTTATATCCCCACCATATTTATACCTAATTGAATGGAAACTGCCACCAATTGAATAATGCACCATAACTTAACCACCACTAAGCAAGGAAAGTGCCGCCAATCCAATTATAACTGCACGACTGTCAGCTGTCTCCCAGTTCCAGCGCTGTCCCCTAGTTCCAGGGGCGAAGTGCCTCTGATCATCACAGTCAATAACATGCAGTAGACTCCGTGGCCGTTTGCTGCCACATTTCTTTGTATTTGCAGAAAGGGCATCGTTAGAGTTGGAACACACTCTGTCTGGATACAAACGGCATTGCTTCTGGATACGAAGATGTGAACACTGTCCCTCTCAGTTCTCCCGCGTCAGGCTCGTATCTGACTCAGGGCTAATTGCTCTTCTGGCACCAGCAGCCTCACCAGATCCTAAAACAAAGCTTCCTCTCAACCCCTTTAAAAGGAAGCCTTGGGGGAAAGGTGGTGATAAAATAACCAAACCCTAACTTTCTGTTCTCGTGGTGGGTCAGAGGGCGGTGTGAAGGGATCTAATTCTCATCTAACGTCTTCTGTCATTTACAAGGACGACTGGAAGTCAGCTAAGTCTTAGAAGGAGGTAAAAGTGTATGCTGGTTGGTGTTAAGTATTCCCTTTAGCCCAGCTGGCATGGCTCAGTGGTTGAGCATCAGCCTATGAACCAGGAGATCACAGTTCCGTGCGGGTCAAGGGCACATGCCCGGGTTGCTGGCTCCATTCCCAGTAGGGGGCGTGCAGGAGGCAGCCAATCCATGATTCTCTCATCATTGATGTTTCTATCTCTCTCCCTCCTCTCTGAAATCAATAAAATAATTTATTTAAAAAAATTCACTTTAGTGCTAAAACATTAATATTGCTTTACCTAAAGAGTAGGTCTCCATCAACTGAACAAGTGAGAAATATGAACTGAAAAATCACTGTAATCCAGATATTCAAGGGAATGGAGCTACATGCTTTGTTGGTATGATTTTATTTATTTGGTAGGAGGCTTTGTATTGTTTAGGAACAATTGCAAGTACGTATTTTTAATCGCAGGAAATTTAGGTAGTGAGTACAAGTTCCTTAGACAAAAGAAACTTTCCCTTTTCCTTTTCTCCTTTGACTGGACCTGCCGAATAATGCTTCCATCGTCCCTTAGCCTGGCTTGTGGGGGCCACATGGGCATCTTTTTACAGTCTGAGGTTAAACAATTGCATTTACTGCTGGATTTTCATACCCGGAGCTCTGGCTGCTTATTCTGTAAAGATCATTTTCCAAATCGTGTATAATAAAAGCAACTGTTGTTATACATTATTTTAAGAGATTTTAAGGTCTTTCCTTCAATAAGATGTTTAAAATAATCACCTTACTTATCTGACCATGGATAGCTCAAACATTGAAATAGGTGGATAGAAACTTACCTTGAGAGTAATCTTCTTTCAAAACGTTAGTAACATTGTAAAGCAGCATGTGACTCCCTCCTTGTAAGGTGTCTGTGACAGACAGGTTAACAGCTCTGAACCGGAGGAGAGCTCACGCCCACTCATTCCTTCATGCGATAACTGTGGTGAGGGTTCCAGGAACACAAAGACAAATAGAAGGCGGTCTCTGCCCTTAAAAGGCTCCCAGCCTGAGAGAAGCCACAGATGAGCTCTGGCGGGAAGAGCCCCGAGATGCTCTGAGGAGGGAACAGCTGCGTGTAGTTGTAGCAGCGTAAGCGGTGCAACGAAAGACGAGGGAGAGCCCAGAAAACGTGTAGGCCCCTCGTGTGCTCAGCCAAGGTGTTCAGACAGGAGCTCCACCTTTCGGGAGCCCATCGTCCTGCTGCTGTCAGGCCCACCATCTGGAACCTGTTGTAATAGGAAGGAGGGATGCCGCCCACGGCACCGACGAGAGGCACGAACTGCTTTCTGCAGCAGGACTGGCCCAAGGCTTCCCTGGAGAAGAGGATGAATGAACGCGCCCGGCAGACTGTCCGTCCGCCAGCTTGGCTGAGCCATGTGCTTTTCCAAGGCTGCGTCGCCCCTTACTGTGTCTGATCCAGATATCCAGCTTCAAGCCGGCGCTCGGTCTAGCACCTTCCGTGTTTACAGAGCACTGCCGTTCACCAAGTAGCATCTCTCATCAGGACCCCATAAAGACGTCAAGTGAGGAAGGCAGGACCAATAACCTTATTTACAATTCCGAATGAAAAACTTCTGGTTGGTAGAGGTTAGGAGAATTTATCTCAAGTTGCTAGAATCTAACTCGAAAAGACCAGAACTCAGGTCTGCTGACTCTGGGTGTGCACGTATTAAACTCAGTACCAATGTTTTACAGCTAACGTGAGCCATAGCACGAATCCAACTAAAAAGGTCAAATGCAGAACTGAAAGTAAACCCGTTAGGGTGAGATCATGGGTATTGTTTTAATGTTTCAAATACTGTTGCAGCTACTGTTTACAATTAAAACAGTTGTTAGGTATTGAATTCAGTTCCCTCAACTTTTAAGGAAAAGAAACTGAGTTTCAAAGAGACTGAGTACTGCCCTAGAGTTACAGGGAAACAACTGGCAGGGTAAGAATTTCAACCCAGGAAGCTTGACTTCTAGCTCAAGACTTTCTTTTTCTTTTTTTTTTTTTTTTTTTTTTTTGGAGACACTAGAAGTATGTCAACAGCAACAAATTGAAAACTGTTGGCGGTAATAACACCACTAACTTTTTTTCTTCTGGAGGGATTAACAGAAATAAAATATTATAGAAAAAAATAGATATAAAGTTACTGATATAAAGGTTTCTATTTTCAAAGAACCAATAAATTACTATAAAATTAGAATTTAAAGCAACAGAGCTAAATCATGCTCTTTTCCTCGTGTCCTCATGATGTTGCTGACTTCAGTAAAGAATGAAAGTACCATAGACTGCTGCAGGATCACGGCAGTTTTAAAGTAAGAGGAATTGCTTTTTAGACTAAATTGTGACATTAAATGAACGATAGCTGAGAGAATACCAGGGCCTGATCGCATTACCGGTGATAATGTTCATAGAGCTGCCTCAGGTGAATTTGATCCTCTCAGCTTGCCATTCTGGCATCCAGATACGAGTGCCTACTGTGTGCAAAGGACTCTTGCAGGGTCACTGAGTAAGAAAGAAAAGCTCTGAGGAAGGTCACTGGGACTCGTGTATTAAGATTTGTGCCCAAGGCAATCCCTCCTTTTCATCCAGGTCTCCCAGGCTCAGGTGGCAAGCTTCCCCTCAATGCCACTGGCAGTAGCCAGGAAAGGAGATGGTGAGGGATGTGTGCACAGGACTGCTCCGCCTCCTCCCTTTCCTAACTCATAGGAGAAGCCGGCTGGGTGTTCTGTTCGCCGGGTTTTAAGAGGGGTTTTAAGAGGCAATTCCAACTCAAGCCACCCCAGCCCGGCGAAAGTTAGTTCCTTAGGGTTTACTTGATCAGTTCTGCGGCTGTCAAACCCGGGTCCCAGTGGGTCCGTTTCCCCACTTCCCACACCTGGACTCAGCAGTGACAGCGATGTCCCGCCTGAGTCCCAGTGACCCAACCCCCACCCTAGAGCCCTCACCACGCAGAGCAGCCGCAGAGCAGCCTGGCTGAGGCCGCCCACCCGGGTCTCTGGGATCCTGGGTGCTGGGGCCCTGGGTCCTGGGTGCTGGGGCCCTGGGCTCCGGGTTCCGGGACCCTGAGTGCTGGGACCCTGGGTGCTGGGCTCTGGGATCCTGGGTCCTGGGGTCCCTCCCTCCGGGGACCTGCTCTGACCTCGGGCCCCGGCGGCGTGCAGTGCAGCGTCCAAGGCCGGGCCAGGCGAGAGCAAAACCTACTTTGCAGCTTCGGGGCCAGGTCAGCACTTTTGAGGATTCCTTTTCGTTTTAGGTAAGTTTTGAAACTGGATTTACGCGAAGGGAGAAGGTGGAGCGTGGCGGCTGCACGCAGCTTTAGAAAGTGCACACGTTTCCTCTCCTGCCCCAGCGCCCTCACCCCCAGGAAGGGAAGGGAAGGGAAGGCGTGGAAAGTGCAACTTGAGCATTAAAATCCCAGGCTCGCCGGGAAGACCGCCATCCGCCTTCCCCGGAGGCTCAGCGCGTCCGGAGCCGCTCCCCGCGC